TATGTTGGCGTCAATGCTCCACATGAACCTTCGCAAGGAACCATTCCAAGGGCAGGGCAAACAGCTCACAACTCTGGAATTTGAAGGGGGAAGGGATTCTTGTTGGAACCTTAGGAATTGTGAAGCCAGGTTGGGGCTGAACTTTGAATAGGTGACTGTGGCACCATGTGACCTTTTTCATTTCTGGTGGTTTGAAGGTGGCAAGACATCATTAACAAAAGGGAGCTTTACTGAATTCTAGTGGTGAACAGTTTTCACACCAAAGTTAAGCCAGCACATTCAGATACCTTCATTCATGGCATGGGAGGAAATGTTGCAGAGGCACAGAGAAGGTTTGGAGAGTGGAGTCATACCTGTGTGGTCGGCTCTGTCTGTACCCATCATGGAACCATTGAAACATAGAAATGATACAGCACAGAAGGAGGCCATTCAGTCCATCTTGTTCATGCCAACCCACACACACCCAGGTGCCCTTTCTAATCCCACCTTCCTGCACACAGCCAATTGCACTGCAGCTTACAGAATTTAAGATGCAGATCCAGTTACTTTTTAAAAGAGTTCAGGGTCTGATCCTCCCCCACCAACTCAGGCAGCGAATTCTAGATAGCCACAGTGCCTGCATTAAAAATGTTTTCCTCACGTCCCCTCTAATCCCTCTGCCACTTAGCTTAAATCTATGACTCCCGGTTTTTAAACTCTTTGCCAAGAGAAACAGATTCCTACCGTCTACCCTATCTTTATCCCTCACAATTCTGTATACCTCAATCATGTCTCACCCTCAGCCTTCTTTGCTCCAAGGAAAACAACCTCGACCTCTCCAATCTTTCCTCGTAGCTACAATTCTCCAGCCCTGGCAGCATTCGGGTAAATCTTCTCTGCTGTTTCTCCGGAGCAATTACATCCTTCTTGTAATGTGGTGACTGGAACTACACACAATAGTCCAGTTGTGGCCTCACCAGTTTCTTATCTAGTTTCATCATTATATCCCTACTTTTGTATTCTGTACCTCTGCCAACAAAGGAGAGCATTCAGTATGCCTTCATTACAACCTTACCTTTGCTATCTTTAGGAACCTGAGCACTTGCACGCCAAGATCTCTCACTTCATCACCCCTCTCAGTATATTCCCATTTATTGTATATTCCCTTTCACTGTTTTACCTCCCTAAATGCATTAACTCACATTTATCAGAGTTGAAATCCATCTGTCACTTTCCTGCCACTCCACCAACCCATCAATATCATTTTGGAGCTGAAAGCTATCCTCTACACAATCTACAATGCAGCCAATTTTTGTATCATATGCATATTTCTCAATTGTGTCCCCTATATTCAAGTCCAAATTGTTAACGTATATAACAAACAGCATGCATCTCAATGCCAAGCCCCACGGAATTCCACTTTAAATGGCTTTCCATTCATAAGGACAGCTTTTTACAATTACCCTTAGTTTCCTGTTGCTAAATCAACTTTGGACCCAATTTGACCCATTACCCTGTATCCCATGAGCTTTTACTCTTTTGACCCTTTTTTTTACTCATTCGGGGAATGAGGATATTGCTGGCTGGCCAGCATTTATTGCCCATCCCTCGTTGCCCTTGAGGTGGTGGTGGTGGGCCGCCTTCTTGAACTGCTGCAGACCACATGCTGTAGGCTGACCCACAATGCCAGTTGGACTGTGGGAGGAAACCAGTACACCTGAAGGAAACTCATGCGGACACAGGGAGAATGTGCAAACTCCACACCGTCACTCGAGGGTGGAACTGAACCCGGGTCCCTGGCGTTGAGGAAGCAGTGCTAACCACTGTGCGACCCCTGTTTTATTGCTCCCAGATTCCATTCAAGTTTAGTTCTTTGCTTCTGAATTTAATGAATTATTGACAAGTCTGATTTATTTGATGATTTGATAAATGATCCATTGACTCATCAACTTGTGTATGGTAATTAGAGGCCAATAAAGAAAAACCCAAAGCACCTGTAACTAAGACAATTCAGCAAGTCACACTTGGGCCCTACTCACTGCTTAGTGAGGATTTAGAGTTTAGAATTGCAATGAATTGCTTGCTGGGGAGTTAAGGTGAAATGGTTAATTACTATTTGAAATTTTTTTTGGGGGAGGGATGTGGTGTCTGGATGCCAGTGCACCTATAGTATGCCTAAACAGAAGAGATTTACATTTCTATACTCTTTCACAACCTCAAGGATAACTGTAAAGCACTTTTGGATGACAAGCAACTTTTCAATCGTAGGAATCATGGCAGACACCTTGTGCACAGCAAGGCTTCACTGACAACGTTGGGGGAAGAAAAGCATTTGCCAGGTATTGTTTCAGGATTTCCTTTTATTCATTTACAGGATGTGGGTGCCACCTCTGAGGCAACTGTTTGTCATGTAACGCTAACTGTCCTTGTGGTGGTGAGATACCTTGAAGAATTGTAGTCCGTATGTTGTTTGAGATAATGCCAAGATAGCTCCCCTACTTTTCATCAAATATAGTGCCACAGGGTCTCTGACGTGCAGCTGAGGGTAAATAGGGCCTCATTTAACTTCATCCAAGAGACAGAACCTCCAATCTTATAACACTCCTTCAGCATGACAGGGAATATCAAGCTATATGTAGAACTCAGATCTCCGAGGTAGGGACTTAACTCCACAGTCTCTGTCTCAGGAGGTGAGCACATTACTGATGAGGCACAAAATGACAAAACTATGAGTCTACATTTATCCCCCCCACAGTTTCTGACTGGCTTTCTAGATATCTAGATCATCCTAAACAGCAAATAATTAACGTTCCAATATATTCTGATCTTCAAACCAACTTTTATATTTTAAAACTAACCACAAAAGGTTTAAAAAGATGAGAATCATCTGATCTCTGAAATGAAACAAACATTTCCATCTCAAGGAGGAATAGGGACCTCCTAAGCCAACGTTGACTGAGAATCTTTTCCAGAGGTAATTTCAAATTTAAATGGGGCATTCAGATACCAAGACACTCGCTATCCCAAACTCAAGCTGTGAAAACCACCACTCAGGATGTTCATTTCACCTATCAACTAAGATTATTTGAAAATGGACTTTTGATTTGCAGAAAAAAGTCACAAAGAGATGGCTACACTTTGCTTTTAACATCACTTTGCTTTTAACATCAGCAGGAAGCTGTACAGCAGAGACAGAATGCAACTCAACCAGATGAATTTGAAAGCTTTAACTTAATCTTTGAACAAATGGAAGTTAAATAAGGAGCCTCACCATTTACCAAGAATTCTTAAAAAACCTTCATTTCAACTAAAGAATCTATTCATCTCAGAAACTACAGGCCCACCACTAGAGAAAGACTTTATTGTGATTGTACTGTACTAGCTTCAATTGGATCTAATCTGCCTGAGCAATAATAGGGCTGAGAAAACCAGAATGCAGCATCACATTTTTCAAACCTCCGAAGTTAGCATTTGATAATAAACTTTTATTCAACTCAAAATGGTTGGTTGCTGTTCAATTCAGCCAAATCACTGAGGTAATAAAATATATATCTCCCATACTGTGTGTTTTACAAGGAAAACAATTTCTGTCCAAAATGAACACACAAAACACCTCAGCTGGTTTTAGGCAGACATTCTCATTCCAGGCAGACATTTTGATTCCCACTGTTCCTTGACATTCACGGTGCTTGTTGCAAAAAAACATGTCCATAGAGAAAAATCAGATTTAAAACAAAAAGAGGACAAATAATGTAAGATGTATTGGGAATAAAACAAAAAAAAAAGAACAAATACTGTCCAACCACAAAAGATGATCAAAAATTAATTCCAGATGACAGCAGTCATGAGGCAGCAAGGTGGCTCAGTGGTTAGCACTGCTGCCTCACAGCGCCAGGGACCCAGGGTTCAATTCCACCCTCGGGCGACTGTCTGCGTGGAGTTTGCACATTCTCCGTGTCTGCGTGGGTTTCCACCAGGTGCTCCGGTTTCCTCCCACAGTCCAGGTTAGGTGGATTGGCCAAGCTAATTTGTCCAGTGTCCAGGGATGTGTAAGTTAACTGGATTAGCTACAGTAAATGCAGGGTTACAAGGATATAGGGTAGGGGGATAGGTCTGGGTGGAATGCTGTTTGGAGGGTCAGTGTGGACTTGTTGGGCCAAATGGCCTGTTTCTGCACTGTGGGGATTCTGTGAGGCACACCCCCAAAGTCCCACATACCTTCCATCCATATAGATATTAGTAATTGCAAGGAATTTGTCCACACTATTTGTCTATTGAATGTTGCATGCCACTCGATCTGACAAGTTGATGCAGGCATTAAGACCCGAGGCTTGGGACCACCAGATCTCTCAATGCTTTCCCACTTCATCATCATCCCTGTCCCAATCTTTGGGAAGGTTCTACTTTGTGGGTCTATGCCCTAGCTTCACACACATCATGCTACAATATAGCATGACAGATTCAAAAAGCTCAATAGCAATGTTTAATAGGCAAAAGGATAGATGAACAGGCTGGGAATAGAGGATACAGATCACATGCAGGCAAATAGGATTAGGTTAGAAAGGTATCATGATCAGTGCAGAAACAGTGGGACAAAGGCCCTGTTCCTGTGCTGTGGTGTTGTGTTTTACAACACCATCAAGAACAAAACAGCTTGCTCCATTGGTACCTGATTTAACACCATCATCTCTCCCTCAAGCACAGAGATTGGCAGCTGTATGTACCATCTACAAGATGCACTACAATACTTTGAACATGCTGTTGTAGGAACCTTAGTGAGTGCAAGAGAGCCCTAATGTATTAACTAAATGCAAACTTTGAAATGTTTAGAATCTACTCAGGGAAACTTGTATCCTTTGTTTCATTGAGATACAGGAAAGATATGGCAGGGCATTTTACAGCAGAAACGTGTTCACACTAGATGAGAGCAGGAGATAAATAGTTCTGATTGTTAATTTTTGTTGTTCCTTTCTTCAACTCAAATAAACACAAATTGGTTTTCAAGAAAGAAAATACTTGCAAAGACATCTGACTGAAATTTATTTTAGTTCATTATATGCCTGGGACTGAAATTCATGTTTAGCTTATTAGACATCTAGGACAATGTTCTTTCATCAAGCCATAAAAATTTACATATAATGTGATGGCCAACCACTATTAACAAGAAAAATTCCATATTTTACAGTGAACTCTGCTCATTTGAATACTTTTCTCCAAAAAGGTTAAGATAAAATGGCATTTAAATGCTGTATTCATATCACAGCACATAATTCAAAATTTATTATACAGTAATGAGTGCTGACACCTCCTCAATAAACAGTCTAATAAGACAAAATAAAAGTAATCAATTAACAAATTACTTCAATGTAACTTAAATAAAAATGAGCTAAAATAGGCAACCTACACAAAAATACAGAAAGCCTCTTTGGGAGCTGTTCAAGGTTTTTCAACCTTACCAAAGGCAAAGGCAATCTGCATAAAATGAAACTAAAATGTAGATTCTTGAAATGCCAGGAAGAACAGGTCTTTAGGTTCATTCTCAAGGTTTTGCTCGCTGAAAGAATACCTGCAAGGTGGACGGAAGAAACAGTTAGTCATTAATTTTAAGGGCACTTGAAATATCTTTTGGATGACTTCATGTACATTGCTGTACAGCCCAGACCATCATGCAAGCCAACCTCCCATCCTTGGGCCCTATCTACACTTATCGTTGCCGCAGAAAGGCAGCCAACATCAAAAGACCCCTCCGACCCCGGTTACACTCTCTTCCAACCTCTCCCATCAGGCAGAAGATACAGAAGCCTAAACACACAGGTTCAAGAACAGCATCTTCCCAGTTGTTATTAGACTGCTGAATGGACCTCTCTAATTTCAAATTGAATGTTGACCTTGCTTTTGTGCACCCCCTGTGCAGTCATAACCTCGTATACCTCACTCTGTCTAAACACACTATGTATGTTCTTGTTTGCTATGGTCTGCCTGCATTGCGTGAATAAAACTGAGTTACATGTGACAACAACAAATCAAATGAACTTCTACACTGCAGAAGAACAGGAAAATTGCACATTTATTTTGTTTTGTCATTTATAAATCTTTAGATAGAAAAGTTTGGGTAATTTCCACATAAACAGCATGTCTGACAACATTATATATCAATCTGCTCCATTTAGCTTTCTCCAGCAGAAATACCAGCTGGGAGTAACACTTTGTCCAGCACATGTTTCAAGTGGGTGCCTCAGTGACAGCTTATGTTTATATAGCACCCTTAAGGCAATAAGCCACCCATGACACTTTACAGGAGTATTATACAACAACATAACACTGAGCAAAATAACATCAGGCCAGGTAAACAAAGTAGGTTTTTAAAGAGGAGGAAACTGAAGAGTTACATGAAGGATATTCCATGGCTCATGACCTCGGCCACTGAAGATACAGTCACCAATGACAGATCAATTAAAAAAAGGGATACATAAAATGCCAGAATCAGAGGTGTCCAGATATCTTGGAGGATTGTGGGTTTAGAGGAGATTACAATGATAGGGAGGGATGAGGCCATGGAGCATTTTGAAAATAAATAAGACTATATGGTGTAGAAATAAGACATTCAGTCCATTGACTCTGCTCCACCAATGAGACTATCATTGATTTGATAATCCTCAATTCCACTTACCTGCATTTTCCCCGATTGAAAATCGCTCAGCCTTGAATATACTTCATGATGCAGCCTCAGCAGATCCCTGCGTTAAAGAATTCCCCAGACTCACAACCCTCAGTGAAGAAATTCCTCACTTGTGACTTAAATGGGTGATTGCTTCGTGAGATTATGCCCTCTAGACCTAGACTCTCCCATTAGGGGAAATAATCTTTCTGCTCAACTTATCAGGCCCCCGGGAAAACACATATTTCAATGAGATCATCTCTCATTCTTCTAAATTCCAATGAGTATATGTCCAATCTACTCAAACTCCCTCAGAAGACAGTTCCTCCACACCTGGTATCAATCTAAAGACCCTTCACTGGATTGGATTGCTCCCAATACCAATCTTTCCTTGGGTAAGAGACCCAAAACCATTCACAGTTTTCCAGCTGGAACCTGCCGATTGCTTTGCGTTTTAACAAACACCTCTATACTTTTGTATTTCGTTCCCTTTGAAATAAACGGGTGCTTGTCAATGTAGATCAGTGAGTACATGGAGCCACATGTGAATGCAACTTGCAGCAAGTTAAGATCTTTTTAACCTCAAGTTCACAGAGAGTAGAATGAGAGAGACTAACTTGGAATGCATTGAAACAGTCTAGTTTAAAGGCATGAATGAGGATTTCTGCAGTTCAGCTGGGATGAGCAAAATTTGAGGTAGAATTAGATGCCATTAGAAATGGCATGAATGAACACCAGTCAAATGTGACAACAAGATTGCAAACAGACTTGTTTAAACTCAGTCTGTTGTCAGGGCGAGGAATGGAGTTTGTAGTTAGGGAACTAAGTTTGGAGTAGTGACTAAAACCAATGGCTTCAGACTTTCTAGTCATACAGTCCTAGAGCACAGAGATAAGCCTTTCGTCCCAAACTGGTCTATGCCGACCAAAGTGTCCATTCACACTAACCCTATTTCCTTACACTTGGCCCATATCCTTCTAAACCTTTCTTATCCATGTATTTGTCCAAATGCCTTTTAAATGTTGTTAATGTGCCTGCCTCTACCACTTCCACTGGCAGCTCATTCCATATGCATACCACCGTCTGTGTAAAAAAGTTGCCCCTTGGGTTCCCATGTGTTCTTTCCCCTCTTACCTTAAACTGATGCCCTCTAGCCCTCAATTCCCCAAACCTGGGGAAAAGAAAAGTGAGTGCATTCTAGGAGTCTATGTGTCTCATGACCACATACACTTCTATAAGATACCCCCTCAGTCTCCTATGCTCTAAAAGGAAACAGTCCTAGCTTGTCCAACCTCTCCCTATAACTTCGTCTGTTGAGTCCTGGCAACATCTTGTAAATTTCTTCTGCATTCTTTCCAGTTTAATAACTGGAAATTCTTTGCTGTAGCAAGAGTGACCAAAACTGAACACAATACTCCAAATGCGGCCTCACCAACGTCCCGTACAACTGCAACGTAACTTCCCAACTTCCATACTCAGTGCCCTGACTGATGAAGGCCAGTGTGCCAAAAGTGTTCCTCACTGCCCTGAATATCTATGACTCCACTTTCAGTGAACCAGGCACCTGAACTCCAAGGTCCTTATGTTCCACTACACTCCCTAAGGCCCTACCATTTGCCACGAAACTCCTACCTCGATTTGACTTTCCAACATGCAATACCTCACACTTATCTACATTTAACCCTATTTGCCATTTCTCAGTCCATTTCCCCAGTCGATGAAGATCCTGCTGCAATTTCTGATAACCTTCCTCACTGTCCACGATACCACCTATTTTAAGTGTCTCATTTCATTAGAGGAAATTTCACCTCATCCAGTGCTGGATATCAGGAGAGTTGTCTGATAATTTAGTGACATTGGAGGAGCCAAGAGAGGCAGCTGTGAGATAGAGCTAGGTGTCATCAGCGCAAACATGAAAACTAACCCTGCACTCTCAAATTATGTTGCTAAAGGACAGCACTGGGGACACCAAGAGGTAACGGTGCAGGAAAAGAAGCCATTGCAAGTTATTCACAAAAGTGACTCAACACATTTACATGGAGGGAGAGGGATGAAGGGTAGTTATAGCTGTCTGCTCATCTTATTTTGTTTATCGGATATTGCAGCACATCATCCAAAGGCTCATTTTGCAAAATAAGTAGGGCATAGGTTCAAATTCCCAAGTTTGCAGAGTTTGCTCTTCTTTCATTAGGCTAATGGGAATGAAAGTGCTCTGAAACAGCCTTCTTTACCCTGTAGATACTCAGCCCAGGTTCCCATTTAATGTCGATTTCCTTGCTAAAAAGTACAAGTTGGCCAGCTTGTGTGGACTTAGCCGTGATGCCATCTAAAATATACACACAACTAATAACAAGGTTTACAGACAGGGTCTATGGAGGTGTAGGTATGGGGTAACAGGTCTAGGATAAGTACATGACATCACCAGTGAAAAACCTCAGGTACAGAATAATTCCATTTTTACAAGTGGATCTAACAAATCCTGCATACGTAAAGTTCTAAGTGTTGAAAGAATGTAACGATAGATATAACAACACGTTTTTTTTTACACGAACTCTTTCTCCACATTATCCTACCTTTAGATAATTTTTAAAGATTTTTCCATCAGCTTGCTGAAGCGCCTGACAGAATTCCTGCAAGAATAAGTACACAAGTGTAAACATTTGTAACACGCCCTTCCTCGTTCAGCATGACCAAATTCCAAGAGAAAGGGTTTTATGGAAAGGCAAAATACATGCTTTTGAATATAGAAAGGGAATGCACCACAACATCTTTTGTGTTTCTAGATATTTCCAAACTGTTACAGTCAAACTTAAGGGATGTCAGGTAACGAGGGACAGGAACATTGCTTCTAATTTATGTTACTGCCGTTGAAGAAGTGTTCTAACTCCTACTTGATGTGGCTCAGATTGGGAATACAGTGTAGCTTGTTAGCAAGAAAGAGCTCAATATGCGTGTACTCCAAGTATAATTTTCTGGTTTTGAGTCACATCATGGCAGGATTGGAAAACGTTACAGCTAACATCTTCCGATGGATACATGAGGGATTGAATGATAAAGGAAAATACCTCCTTAATGGGTCCTCTTCTATATAAATGTCGAGTGCCCCTAATTGGCTATTTTGCAAAACAGCCATTCATATTTCCTTCGTTAACTTACTATGTTACAGTCAAGGCTGTTCTACATCATGGAAATAAAATTTAACTGGGTAATCACTTTACTAAGCTTTGATTTATATATAGGTACAATTCTGATCTCCCAGTCAGCTTCTCACTCTGACCTCTGGTCTACACCCCGACTTAGTTAGGCCAACAGCATGAGTGCATTTATGGGAAAAATGAGTCAAAATACAAAAAGGGAGAAAAGGATGAAAGGACATATTGATAGGGGGAGATGAAGAGGTGTGGGAGGCTTGTGAGAAGTATAAACACTGGTGTGGACTAGCTGGGCTGCATGCCCTGTTCTTGTGCTGTAAATACCACACAAGGCTACATATATATCCACATAGAGCTAGAGCACTAAATTATGGTTCACTTATGGACCGCAGACTCAAGTTGTCTAGCCAAAAGGTTGCTAAATGTCTTGCTGTTAGATGTTAGTTTATGGAGATGAGTTCTGAAGAGGAATCAGGTTGGATTCGAAATGTTAACTCTACTTTCTCTCCAGAGATACTGCCGGAACTGAGTTTCTTCACCACTTTCTGAAAAAGTGGATCTCTAAATTAGAAAGAACTAGTGGTGGTGGCAGTGGTGGGGGTCGGGGGGATGGGGGAGGAAGACTAGGCACTAGGGCATACTCAATAAAACAAAACAATTTTACCCAAGCAGGATAGTGTTAACTTTATAAACAAATCTCACCTTGCCAGATTTGGAAGGATTGTCTGGGGCCTCGGATGGAGGCAAGAGGGGAGATGTAGGGACAGTTGTAGCACCTCCTTGCATTGGCAGGGAAAGGTACCGGGTATGGAGGAGGGGTTGGTGGGGAGTGTGGAAATGATGAGGGAGTTGCAGAGTGAACTTACCCTGTAGAAAGCGGACAGGAGTGGGGAGGGAAATTTTTTTTGGTGGTGTCTTTTTTTCGATGGTCAGAACATTATTTGGAGTCCATGGGGGATAAGCTGGCTGCGTAGACAGGCACTGAGGAGAAGGCCTGGCTGTAGAAGCGAGATTGCTTCACCATCACCACTACTACACTCAGTACCCTTCCCTGCAACCACAAGAGGTGCTACACCTGCCCCTACACCTCCCCTCTGTCCTAGGCCCAAACAATCCTTCAAAATCCGGCAGGAGATTCACCTGCACTTCATCTAACCTCATCTACTGCATCCATTGCTCCTGATCAGATCTCCTCTATATCAGTCAGACCAAACGCAAACTCGGGGACTGGTTTGCGGAACATCTGCACTCTGTTTGCGCCAGCCAACCGACCTTCCAGTTGCCATCCACTTTAACTCCCCCTCCCACTCCCCTGGTGACATGTCTATCCTTGGTCTCCTCCACGGCCAGAGTAAGGCCAAACATAAACTGGAGGAACAAAACCTGATATTTTGCCTTGGGAACATGAATGTTGACTTCACCAGCTTCAAAATCTCTCCACCCCCAACCTGTCCATTTTCTGACTCATCTATCCGCTCCACCCTTCCCACTGACCAATCACAATAACTCCCTACCTGCATCTTACCTACCCTCCCGCCAGCCCCACCCACCCATCCTATTTATTTCTGGGCTCCCCTCCCCCTCCCCAGTCCTGACGAAGGGTTTTCACCCAAAAAGTTGACTTTCCTGCTCCACATTTATTGACTCTAGATTCCAGCATCTGCAGTCCTTAGTGTCCTGTTTATTGCAGGGAATTGATCCCTACACTAGATGATCAATTATCAATTGTCTTTAAAAGCCTCTTAAAATTTAGCTCCAAAATGCTTATGTGCAAGATCTATTGTAACCCATGAAAAAAAGATTAAAATATGATACAAATTCCAAGAATTCAAAACAAAAATCTCACTTGTATTATTTCTGGGGCTACCTGCAATGACTGCAGGTATTCTTGCTGAAGATACTGGATGAATTCAGGTCCCTAAAATGCAGGAACAACAGCACAGAAACACGACGGTTAGGTTCAAATCAAGATGAAAGCATAATTGAAAACAAATTTATTCCAGCAATTTGTTAAAATCCAGCACAGACCACCAATACTAGAATGAAAGACCATTACCCTTTTGAGATGAATAGTTTTCAATGTTACCGCACATTCTGATAAAGCCTGTTTAGAGACAAAAGATTGGACAAAATACGGTTTTATAATTTGCCATACTTAATTGTTGCTGTTTATGAGTGTGACCACATTTTGGCCACTAAACACAGTGGATGGCAAAACCAAGAGATGACAGACAAACATGTTTATTAAAAAACAAAAAAAACTTCACCCAGCAACTATCTCCAATCTTTAGCAATTGCCTGCAGAATCCCTTCACTAAGATTATCCCACTTCAGTGAGGTGTGATTAGCTGAGTGAAACTTCTTTGAAGATCTTTTTAAAAATTGGTAAATTCAGGCTGAGATTCGAAATAGCAGCACGCTTAATCAAGCTACTCTCCACCTTAAACAATCACTTTCACCACTAGTGCATGGTGGCTGAAGTGTTACCGTCTACATGATGGACTGCAACTCAGTTATTTCAACAGCATCTTCCAAATCATTGAATTCTTAACATCTAAAAAGACAAGGGCAGCAGATACATTGAACACCACTACTTTGAAGTTCCCCACCAAGTATACACGTTATAATCTGGAACTAAATTACCATGCCTTCACTGTCACTGGGAAAAATACTGGAACTCCCTTCCTAACAGCAAGTTGGTGTCTCTAGACCCCAAGGACTGCAGCAAATCAAGAAGGTTTCTCATTAACTTCTCCAGGGCCAGTAGAGATGGGTAACAAATGCTGGCCCGTCAGCAACATGCACATTCCATGAATGACTAAAAATAGTAGCACCTTGTAAAATATAATTTAATTTATTATTTGTATATAGTTTATATATACAATTCCAGTCAACTAAATTACAGCTTGAACAAGCCAATCAGTCCTTCTGACCTATGCTGGCATTCACGCTTCACACAAATCTAGTTTAATCCATTTGTTTCCCAATATGCTCATCTAGCTTCCCTTTAAATGCATCTATGCCATTTGCTCTAACTACTCTAGGTAGTAGCATGTCAATCTATTCAATCTCTTTGATAAGCAGACTCTTGAATTATTTACCTGCAGAAGGATTTAAAATTCAATATAAAAAAGTGTGGAGTTGATAATTAGTCTCACTACTAGTGACCCTGATGGTATTATCGATTGTTGTAAAACCTCAGGTTCACTAATGCCTTTTAGGGAAGAAAATCTGTCATCCTTATCTGGCCTTGCCTACTTGGGACCCACATCAACGTGGCTGACTCCTAACGGCCCTCTGAAAGGGCATTACAAAACACTCAAGAGTTCAAAGGCAATTCAAATGCTGGCCCTTCTGCAGATATCCAAATTCAGTGAAATATATTGGACTTATTTAGTGACAAATGATTATGGTCATTTGCCTGATACAAATGACTGCCCAAGATCAATACAGAATGTGTAAATGGAAAGGACAGTAAGTGGCTTACAATAATCCTTAACTGATTTTGAAGAACCCTTGCAGATTGTTCCTTATATTTCAATTTTTATGCCATTGCAAACATGATACGGCTGGAAGGGTAACCAAAGAGATACTGTACCTGAATCACGTAGAGTGTAATGTGCAGAGAACTTTAATTTAACTATACAACAGGATAACTTGATGAAATGAGAATCACTATCTACCTACGTTACTTAATATTTCAAATTAATGCACTCTCTCTAATATTGGTTCAAAGTCCTGGAACACCCTTCCTAACAGCACAGAATGTACTCTCACCACATGGACTGCAGCAGTTCAAGGCAGCAGCTTCTCAAGGGCAAGTAGGGAAGGGCAGGAATGAATTAGAAAGATTAGGAAAAACTACATATGCAAGTTATAATTCTAGAATTATACAGAATACATACCAAGACTGTTTGAGCGTCAGCTAAATCAAAGGTTGGTTTAAGTGGTGCCAGGAAGCAAGCTGGGACAATATGCTTGTAGATGAAGTCTTCGAATCCTAGGAGGCCATCTTTACCCCCTGGAATTAACAACATTCAGTTAAACCAGGCATTTGGTTACAAGCAAAATAAGGCTGTTCTCATCAAGTGAGCAAAATTGCAATCCTTACCCCAAAGTTCAACCAGTTTCGAAAGTATGATAAAACAAGTTTTTTGAGCAATTGGATCTGGAAATTCTACTGCTCCTTGAATGACTGTAAACAGGACATGTTCGACATTCTGTACACCTGGAGGGAGAGACAGTATTTGCACTATTGTAAAAAAAATTAGGAGGACTGACATTAATATTCGCCACATGGATCATCTGGTAAGGCAAGGCATTGTTAGAATCAAATCTTGACTGGTTCCCTAAACAAGGAAAGCCTTCCAACTAATCAGTATATCAGAAACAGAATACAACACAGTAGTATGATACCAAGTGACGCTGTACACAAAATCATTGGAGGTGGCAGGCAGGTTGAGAAAGCAGTTCAATGAGGCCATATTAGAATCATGGAGCAAAAGCAAAAAGAATTAAAGCTGGAAAATACTCATTAATTCAGACAACATCTGTGAAGGGGAAAGAGTTAACACATCAGGGTAAGATAATCTCTTATTCATTCTGCTAAAAGATCTCCAGCTAAAATGGTAACGGTTTCCCTCCACAGACTACCTTACTCAACGAACATTCCCAGAAGTTTATTTTTTCTTTTTATTTCAGAATTATAGCATCCACACTACTTTGCATTTGTATAATAGCTTTATAAACAATGGAACAGAGTAGTAAAGCACAGAAATTGCATTGGTTTCAGTTTTCCAAAATACCCTTGGGGACTGTCGCATTTGTTATCTTCCAACCTAGTGGTCTTTTGTTCAAAAAGGAGGAACAGAAAGAAGGTAACAACAAGTCAGTTAGCTTAACAATTGTCATGAGGAAAATGTTAGAAGGTATTATTAAAGAAACCATAGCGGGGCACTTGGATAAACTCAAGGTAAATCAGCCAGTCAACATTTTTGTGACAGGGAAATCATATCTGAACAATGTATTAGAGATAGTAGGAACTGCAGATGCTGGAGAATCCGAGACAACAAGGTGCAGGGCTGGATGAACACAGCGGGCCAAGCAGCATCATAGGAGCAGAAAGGCTGACGTTTCGGGCCTAGACCCTTCAGCCTTTCTGCTCCTATGATGCTGCTTGGCCTGCTGTGTTCATCCAGCCCTACACCTTGTTGTCTCAATGTATTAGAGTTATTTACATGCTGTGGACAAAGGGGAACCAGTGGTCACACTTGGATTTCCAGAATTTATTTGAGAAGGTGCCTAAGATTATTGTGGAACATAAAAGCTCATTGTTGGTGGTGATGGGTGACGGAGAGTTCAGGGCCGGGGGTGGGGGGGGAACAGCATTGCAAAAGCAGAAGTAGGCATAAACTCATCATTTGAGGTTAGAATAGATGTAACAACTGTACTGGGGCTTCAACTGTTTACAATTTATATATTGCCAAATTTGCTGACCACACAAAGGCAGGTAGGAAAGCAAATTGCAAAGAACATATGAGGATATGGCATAAAAAACCTAATGTGGTAAAATGTGAAACTGTCTATTTTGATAAGAATAAAAGAAGCAAATTAGTGAGGGATTGCAGAGTTCCAAGATGCAGAAGGATCTAGGAGTCCTTATGTGTGAATTGCAAAAGATTAGTAAATAGATACAGTGGGTAACTAGAATGTTGTAATTTATCACAAGGGGAATTAAATATACAAGTAGTGAGGTTATGACTCAGTTATACAGAGCATTGTTGAGTCTGTATCTGGTGTATTGTGCACAGGCAGGATGGAAATCTGCTAGAGGCAGTCAAAAGAAGGTTTGCTAAACTGCAGGGGGGTGGAGTAGGGATGCTTGACTTACGAGGTAAAATTGGACAGTCCAGATTTGTATCAGCTGGAATTTAGAAGAGTGGGGCAACTTGATCAAAAGGTACAAGAATCTTGACAAGTGGATTTGGAGAGATGTTTCTTATAAGAAAAGCTAATACTAACTATCACTGTTTAAAAATCAGGAGTCACTCTTTTAAACAGAGGTTAGGGAAATTTTTCTCACAATAGGTGAGAGTGTATTTGGAATTCTCTTCCTGAAAAGATGGTGGAAGCAAAGTCCTTGGACATCTTTAAGAGAGTGGTAGATTCTTGAAGATAAGCAAGGAGCTGAAAGGTCATCAGGATAGGCGGTATTGCAGATTTGAAGTTATAATCTGATCAGCTGTGATCTTACTGAATGGAAGAGCAGGTTCAAGGGGCTGAATGACCTATTCCTGCTCCCAGTTCCTATGCTCGTTCTTCTATTCATTCATCCACAGGATGAGGGCATTGCTGGTTTGGCCAGCTCTAATTCATCCCTAATTGCCAAAAGGGCAGTTAAAAATCAATTGAATCACATGTAGGCTGGACCAGGGGAGGATGGCAGTTTCCATCCCTAAAGGACACTGGTCAACAATTGGCAATGGATTCATGATCACCATTAGATTCTGAATTCAATAAAAGTTTGGAATTGAAATTCCATCATCTGCCATGTTGGGATTTGAACCTAGGTCCCTAGAACATTGGAACGGGTGTTCTGAGGAAGGGTCACTGGACCCGAAACGTTAACTATTTTTTTCTTCACAAATGCTGCCAGACCTGCTGAGCTTTTCCAACAACCTTGTTTTTGTCCCTAGAATATTACCCAGTCTCTAGATTAACAGTCTACGGATAATAATACCACTGGGCCAGCGCCTCCCCTTAAATTATGGTGAACCTTTAGTGAAACAGTGGTAAATATGTCCACTTGTGGGAGTCACATTCTAGGAAGGATGTGATGGCATTAGAGAGGGTGCAGAAAAGATTGAGAATGAGGTCCCTCATCCCTGGATCCAATTACATGGATATTTTGAAGCTTAACCTTCTCTAAGGAGAACTGTTCAAGAGTAGACTGGACAAGGATGTTCATATTTATGATGGGTTCAGACAGAACAATACGAAACCATTCCAAATAGTAGGATATAGAAATGATGAGAATTGAGGACACCAATTGAAAGTGAATGGCTAAAGAATCAAAAAAAAGGTGACACAAGGAAAATCTTATTTTCACAGCAGGAAAGTGGAGCTTAAGATTATCAGATCAGCCATGATTTCATTAAATGGCAGAGCAGGTTGAATGGCCTACTTCTGTTCCTATCCGTTACTGGAGGTCCCAGATGGAGAATAACTGGCAGGAGAGCCAGAGGTGAGAACATTTTTCGTTTTGGAACTAGAGTTGTAATGATCTGAAACATGTTGCTTGGAAGAGTGGTTGATGCAAATTCAACAGTAACTTTTGTGATGGTACAGGTGTTTTTAAGAGAGATATGTTCTGTGCTTGCACAGGGGTCTGCCACAGTGGTGCCAGAATTTCTGCTTCACACAGGCAGTTGGCAAACAGCTTTTGAGTTCTCCCTGGGTGATCTTTTAAAATGAGACAAAAGAATCATCAGCGGTCAGGGTTAGGGCTCACACGCACACGGGATGGGTTTAGTTTTGCAGTTTGAATTAGTTGAAGGTTTTCTGATGGCTGCCGAGCAAAAGGCTCGAGTTTGCGGCTGCTATAGTGAAGTCCGAGGTGAGAGTCTTCCTCTTAAAAATCAAAAAAGTGTAGATTTTTTCTTTGTCCTGGACAGGAGAGAGACAGCACGTGCAGAATACTGTTTTGCTGAATTATATTTTTGCCAAAGGGTGTGTTTATTGGATGCTGCCTGTATTGGAACAGTTGATGATTAGTGGTTAAATAATACATTTTCTTAATTATTTCAATAGATTTAAGATTACGCCAATTTTTTTTTGTATTTTAACGATGTCATAATATTAAAATGGGATTTGATTAAAGCCTAGTCATGGACCAAACAAATGATATCTGAACACAGCACCTTACACTCATCTTTAAATAAATATAAAAGTTAGGCTCTAGGCCAACTCTTTACTATATTTGGGGAGGGGGAGGGTCTGGTCTGGTCCATTACACTTTCAAAAGAATTTTGGATAAATACCTGAATAGTAAACGTTGCCAGGGCTATACGAGAAAAACAATAGTAATAGTACTAATTGGATAGCCCATTTGCTGAGCTGCCTGAATGGCCTCCTTCGGTTAGATATAAACGTGCGTGCATGCATACGATTTTATTTTAAAAAGCAATGTTAGACATTATAAAGGGTTGGAGAGGAGGGGAAACAAATCACTTTTTTTTGAACATTTACAAACTCATTTACCTTGATTGGCAATGACCTCACTCATTCCACTTCCTGTAACAGTTTGTAGAAATGCAAAATAACTTCTGCGGAGCATCTGGTTTTCAAGCGCAGCAGTTTGGTCATTTTCTTCTGCCGGCCGTGATAATACTTCAAATATAGCTTGAACCAAAGGCATAAATATTTGTTGCAAAAATGGTGAAATCTGTGTCTGTGGAAAGGAAGGCGTTTGGCAAAAACACAAAACAGCGATATTTTACCAAATGTAGAGAGTAATTACAATATTGTGATGATAGGTATTAATTTAAAACAGGATATGGTTTTAAAAAATGGCTATGAACTATTCAACATAGAATAACATTTATAACTAAGCACGCTTTCTCTTACAAAGTGAACATGGTTGGGCCAGTTGCACAATATACAAGTAAAAGCCAACCCTCAACCATTGTTCATGAGAAAGCAAGAGCAAAGCAAGGACAAGAATTGTTATATACAGTTTCACACACGATTGCGTTCCAAATCTGTGGGCTCCCAAGTCTGAGCTGTGTTTCTCAGTATTACACTAATTGTTCAACACAATATAATACTTCCTTTGAGTACTTTGTGTACAGCTCTGGTTGCCACATGACCAGAAGGACGTGGAGACTTTGGAGAGGGTACAAGCACTGTTTACAAGGATGTTGCCTAGTTTGGAGGGTATTAGCTATGAGGAGAGATTGGTCAAATGGGTTTGTTTTCACTTGAATGAAGCATGAGGGGCAATCTGATACAAGTTTATAAAATTATGAGAGGCATGGATAGAACAGATAGTTGAAGTCTTTTTCCCAGGATAGATATATCAATTTCTAGGGGCATAGGTTAAAGGTAGAAGGGTACGTTTAGATGAGATCAGACATCAGAATCCCTATAGTGTGGAAGCAGGCTATCAAGTCCATACCAACCCTCCAAGGAGCGGCCCACCCAGAGCCAACCCCCTACCCTCGACCCCACCCGATAACCTTGCATTTCCCATGGCTGATCCACATCACCTGCACATCCCCTGGACACTATGGGAAATTTAGCATGGCTAATGCACATAACCTGAAAATCTTGGGACTGTGGGAGGAAAGCGGAGAACCTGGAGGAAACGTACACAGACACATGGAGAATGTGCAAACTTTACAAAAAGTCACCCAAGGCTTGAATCGAACCCAGGTCTCTGGCACAGTGCTAACCACTGAGCCACTATGCCACCCCAGATGAGACAGAAAGGTTTTTGACATTCAGGGTGATAAGTGCCTGTAATGTACTGCCAGAGTAGGGTTGAGGCAGATACAATAGCACCATCTAAGAGGCATCTTGACAGATACAGCAAGCATTTTTATTAACTGACACCTATGGAACCAGGAGTGTACTGGTTGATTAGGTATTCCGGTTGATAAAGGGATCCACATAATCAATGTGAGAACACACACTATGTAGTAGAAATGTAATGAGGGGGTATACACATCATTGTTATACTTACAGCATAATTCACTTACATAAAACTTAACGGCAGACAGCATTCTTACTCGTACCCTCAACTGACTACTTGGACATCGCAGATATCGTGATAATACAGTAGACGTCTGGTATTTCAGGTATGTGATTTTTGCTGGTTTATCAGGTGCCAATTCGAACAAATAGGCAGGGAACGGAGGGATTTGGACCTCAGAGGCAAAATGTTTTTTTAATTTAGAAAGGCATGTGTTGGCGCAGTCTTGGTGGGCTGAAGGGCCTGTTCTTTGCTGTCCTGTTCTTTGAACTATTTTATTGTCCATCCCTAATAGTCCTGGAGAAGGGAGTAGTGAGCTGCCTCTTGAACCACGGTAGTTCTTGGGGTGTAGGAACATCTGTTAGCAAGGGAATTCCAAGATTTTGATCTAGCAATAGTGAAAGGACAACAATACAGTTCCAAGTCAGTGTTTTTTTTTGGGGGGTGGGAGATGGTATTGATATCCTATGCATTTGCTGCCCTTTACTTTTTAGGTATAAGAGGTTGTGGCTTTGGAAGGTGCTGTCAAATGAATGAACCTTGGTGAGTTGCTGCAGTGGATTGTACACATTGCTGCCACTCTGTGGTGAAAGGAGTGAATGCAAATGGTGGATGGGATGTCAGTCATATGGGCTTCTTTGTTCTGGATTGTGTCAAACTGGAGTCTAGTTGCAGGGGGTGAATGCATGGTGAGTTATTCTTCAAAGAATATCTTGTCTCTGATTCAGCTAGTTAAGTTCAGTTCAGTTTGTGGTCAAAGGTAAATTCCAGGATGTTGATACTATGGGAATCAGTGATGATAACGCCACTGAATGTCAAGGGCAACAGATTCTCTTTTATTGGAGATGGCATTACACGGCATTTGCATGGTGCCGATGTTAATTGCCGTTAAACAGCCGACATCTGGATGTTGTGCGAATTTTACTGCACGTGGACACCAACTGTTTCAGTATAAGGTGCCGTGAACAACACTGAACATTGTTTGCTGATGATCACACATCACACTTCTGACCTTATGATACAGGGAATGACAAGGAAATATTAGCGGAAATAAGTTGACCCATGAGGTGATTTGAAAGAATGAACTTGAGTGCTCGTCTTCAGGACTTCTCCAATCGTTCCACATCGAGTTAACTTTTTAAAAATGTGGGTGTTATTAGTTAATTTAAACAGAGGAGTCCCACAAATTATAACAAAGTTAGGTGAGCAATTATTTAGTTTTGCCACTAATTGAGGGATAAACACTGCCAAGAAAGATCAGGACAACACCATCTTTCAATAAAGCCACAGGCTGGTTTGTATCCAGCTAAGCAGGCAAACCAAAAATAGCTTTAACATCTCACCTGAAAGCTGCACCTCCAACAATGCAGCACTCCCTCATTACTACAGTACATGCTGGCCTTTTGTGTTCAATTCAGAGTGGGACTTGCACATAATTTTCCAACTCAAAAGACTGGTACCCCTTAGCAAAGTTGGCAGCTGGCTTTATAAGTCTCAAACTACTTCCAAAACACAGACTAAACACCGTACCTTAAATTTTGCTGTGATTTGATTAATAAGAGGAATAAATTCCTGTAGGTCCTTTGCCTCACAGTCCTTAAGCATGTGCTCTGAGGCAGTAGGAATGAATGGAAGAACTTCTTCCTCTAAGCAAATGATCATTCTGTGAAGAAACGTCCGAACACCACTTCGCAGAATTTCCTTCTGCAAGGCGCAACTTAGAGCTGGCAGGAATGTTTGCAGGCAGTCTCTGTACACTTCAGAGCAGCCACACTGCTTCACTGTCTGCTTGTTGCTGAAGGCCTTACTGGTCCGGCTGAGAATAACAGAAATAGAATAAACAATGTGATAGGTCAAGTCCTCCTCCTGCTTACTATAAGGAAAAGTGTAGTCAAGTGTGGGAGTCAATGGGTATGTAACAGACAGCCTATCCCCAGAAATGGAAACAGAGAAGTCAAGGGAGGGAAGAGTCATGGATAGACCAGTGAAAGAGGGATGGAAATTGGAAGCAAAATTATGAGTTTTTCCAAATTAGGATGAAAGTAGGAAGCAGCACGGAGTTACTTGAGAGTGAGTGGTGGGAGGGTGCAAAGCCAAGGGGAGTGAAAGTGAAGGTGGAATATTCAGGCTTCCTTTTAAAAGAAAAAAAGCATAGAGCTTTCAGATCATCCTTAGAGGGCATGGACTTGAAAGGAATGCACATTCATGGTGAAAAGGAACTGAGTGCAGCCAGGAAGCTTGAAACTGTAGACCAGATGTAAAGCATCAGAAGAATCACAAATATAAGTGGGAAGAGATCGGATGAGGGGAGAAAGAAGATTGAGAGAAATGAGTTCAGTGGGGCAATGAAGAGGCTGAAAATGAGCTGCCATTCAGGGGTGGGGACTATGAGAACTATTAAGCTAAAATACAAGTCTCCTGGATCACAAAGTTAGTCTGAAATGTTGTAGCTCAGATCCAAAATGCTTCAAATAATTAAAACATGCATCATTTGCAGCTAATAGTTTGATTGTGAGGATTGCAGGAGTAAAATAAGGCAGAATTCAAGCAGAAACCTTAGAAACTATTAGGAAACATCTGAACACGGCAATTTTAGGACCTTGCAGTTCAGATGAATGAGTTTGTTGGCCTTTCTCAAATGTAATTCCCTTGGCAGTAGTGGTCATTTTAATAGATTTTCTCCAAGTACACACAATTGTAGGCCCCTTTGTTTTAAAACCATAAATAGATTATGAAGCAGTAAACATCCCACAGATTAATTTACTTGAAGAGTTGGCAGAAAGGAAAAGGCATAGACATCCAAATGGAAAATATACCAAAAAGCATTATGAAATTCATGTCACTTGGCTGCTGTAATCTTTTCCCCAGGATCAGAAAAGCTCTTTCCCTTTCAAAATTTCAAGATAAGTGGTGCTTTCTCCAGCAAATTTTCAACACTAGGCAGCTACACGAGTTGGGTGTCTTTTAGTCAGCATGTAGAAGAGGACTACAGGTAAATGGGACAGCATGAGCAGCAGAGAACTAGGGATAGCAAAGTAGTGACTCACAACAACAGGGTGCAAGTAGAAGAAAGAATCTGGCAGTTTAAAGGGCAATATACTTTTAAAATTAACTCAAGACACAGGCATTACTATTAAAGCTGATATTTGGTCCCCATTCTTAGTTGTCCCCAAGATGATGGTGGACCTTAGAGCCACTGCAGTCTCAAAAATTCTTCCATAATGCAATAATTCAAGATGTTCCAGTTCAACTTTGTTAAAGGAAAGGTGGCATATGTCCAACTAAAAGTATTCTAGAAAAGTCACATGATAACTCCTAACTACACGAACAAAAGAAGCTAAGCATGAACTCAGAAAATGAGCTCCGTATTCCCAAGGCTTTATGCCATGCCACTTAGTTGTTTCTAAGAGTAAGCACAGAACTTTAATTAAAAAAAAGGGTTAACCTTGCAAAACCCACTGCGTGGTTTAAGCAGTCTGCCAATGCAGCTTGCCTCTCCCCATCCTGCTCCGTTAGAAGTTTCTCCAAAAACACTTTGAATTTCTCCATTAGTGGTGTGAGCAAGTCCCTCATCAAAGCCTGTTTCCTCTCTGCTGGGTATTCACTATTCACAATTAATACCCCGGCTGTTTCATAAATAAACAGCTGATCGTCGCTGCTTAAGAGAGTCTGGAAACCGTTCTCCTGAAATAGAATGAAAGCAAACCGTTACAATATACAGCAACTATCAAAGCAACAGTCAGAGTATTATGTACACTGAAAAAGAAAGATATCAAAATCAATTTTGGCATCTTATTGGTCAGAACAGGAGGGAACATCTGCTCAGGTGTTCCGCTGTATTATGCGCTGTTGCAAAGATTTCCAAGTCAATCTACAGTAATTTGCTCTTAAAGTGCCTTTAACGTAGTGAAACATCCTAAGGCATAACTTGGAAGGATTACCAAACAATTTGCCACCAAGCGATATGAAGGAGTTATTAGACCAGGTGACAGACAGAACAGTTTGAGATTCTCTTAAACCAGTAGAAAAAGCAGTATTCAGGATAGCGTTTCCTTGATCCTGGACTTGGAGCTAAAATCGTTCTTACACTCTTTCCAACATAAATCAAGCTTTCAACTGATTTGCATTATCTAGTCTGAGGAAATGTTTTACCTCTTTCAGATTTCCAAACAGATGATAATTTAACACTTACTGAAGGAGAGAGGACCAGTAGATCCTGTATTCTGTTCAAAATATCTTCTATGTACAGATTCATATGTTTACTGTAAGACAATAAAAACAGTTTCATATTAACTATCAATTCATAAATTAGTGACTATTATATTGCTTTGAGCAGCAACTTCAGTTGGTCCCCTTTCCTTGAGCCATACACACCAGGGAGGGGAAGCAAGGATACACTTTAAAATCAATCAGGAGTGATAGTTCCTAAAAACAAAGAAAGCACTTGTTCATGGCAAGTACCTGAACGTAGAATCTTTTAACTTGGGAGATTGTTGTGTCGCAGCTATCACACAATTTGAGCTGACCAGGAAATTCTACTGTTCTTGCCTCCTGTCACAAGACCTTTGGCAGGCCACAGGGGTGATAACTAACCTGTCTGACCGTATTACGACAACTCCTGTTGTTATTAAACCTGGTGCACATAGCCCAGAGTTGGGACACACCACTACTGCAACGCAGGATCACAAATAAAGAGTAACCCCTCAGGGGGTGCACAGCCACAGCTGGTGATGGTTAGCACCTAGATTGCACCGGACTGCCCTTCAGTGGGGACAATTTAGAACCCAACATGGGCTTGTGCATACGGATGAATTTAACTCTTAAAAATATTAATGCACCACGATAAAAGTATTTTTGCTATAAGGTATTACTGAAGATTTACAATCAGTTTAAAAAAAAAGGGAAAGCTGGAAAGAAACTTACTGCTTATCGGGCTTACTTACCTTAAAGACTTAATAAATCTTGAGAGCAGGTATGCTGTTCTACTTCGCACCTTAGGGCTACTATTACGTAGTCCTCTATGATCTAAAAACGCCATCTGCAAAAATAAGAATAAAAACATTACTTTTGAGATGTGTCATAAGTTACAAAATCTAAACAAATGAACGTAAAAAGAATCAAGATACATAGCATTTCAGCTGATCTACAAACGTAAACGTCACTTGTCTATTCTAATGGATGTTAAAAGCGTCCTTGTGGGAACAGATATTTTTCAATGTTACGACACATCTCTGGAGCAGGTGGGACTTGAATGCAGGCCTTCCAGCCCAGAAGAAAGAATGATTACCACTGCACCACAGGAGCCCCTAGAGTAAACCTTTATTCCCTGATTGGGAATTGATCCTGGGTCGCAGCAGTCAAAGTGCTAAACCTTAACCACTAGACTAGCAGGGAAGGTCCCAGATTGGAATATACACATATTAACTAACACCAAAAATGGTATCACTGAACAGACTTTCTCTGGAAAAGTCTGACAGGATATTTCAATGAAGCCTTCAAAATTAAGAAGAAATGTGCTCCCAAAACTTCTATCTTAAAACGTTCACAAAAATTAGGAGCAGGAGTTGAGATAAAACCAGTCAGGCTTCTCTGTCACTCAACATAATCATGGCTGATCTTGGGCTTCAACTTCTCATTTGCTCCCTATGTTCCCGGATTTCCTGACACACCAAAAATCTGTCTGTTCCAGCCTTGAATATATTTAAAAGTGGAGCAGCCACAAATCATCTGGGGTAGGGAATACTGCACATTTACAAACCCCAGGGTGAAGTAATTTCCCATCCCAATGTTAAATGATTGTCCCTTTATCTCAAGACTGTCACCATATTTTAGATTCCCAGCTAGCAACAATCTCTCAATGCCTATCCTACCAAGCCCCTCCAGAATCTTGTATATTTCAAAAAGAGACGGTCTCTCATTTTTTGAAACTCCAGGGAACACAAGCCCAATTTACTCATTCTCTCATCACATCATTCCTATAAATACGTTGGCCTGTAGACTAGACCCTAACACTTAGGAACAAATCAGTTTTTCAATATTCTCAGACCCTCCCCACATATTACAGAGCCTCAATACACTTGATATATGATGTGCCCAAAACTAAAATTAAACTCAATAAGCAAATATTCTGTCTGGAAATATTCTGGCCAGAGGTTCACGTCCAAAACAACTCACCAGAACAGTAGGAATGTGCTGTGGTTCTACAGCAAAAAACTTCTCATAGCGAACTACTATTTCAAAAAACTCCAAAGTAACCGATGTATGCTGGTACTGACTCACTCCAGATGTCACCAACTATAGGGACAGAAAAAGCATGTTATATTTCAGAAATTAACAGCAATCATTCATTTATTTTGGTCCATACCTATAGCACTCAGGCCAGAATTCAAACTATTATAAATGGTATTTTACTTATTTTTCCATAATGTGAATTTGAAAAGGAGTATCACTCCCTAATGATTACAAACCACATTTTTAGCATAGCATGGTGACCACATGGTTTCCTCTTCTCCCAAATAATCTACACCCCAGTAACGAGTGATCCACGCATGGACCTACCACAAACTGGCAAATATCAAAAAAACTTTGCAAGTGCAACTGGATTTACATTTCAAGAGTAATGAATTACAGGGTTCTGAAGAAGACCAGAGTGTTGAACAAAAGATATTTGTGGTTTCTCTTCTCATTTTAGTTTTATGGCCAAGTGCTCCCTACACAGAAGAATTTTCTCTTGTGCAAATGTCTTTTACTACCTCAGAACACTACAATGCTTTATAGCTAATGAAGTGCTTCTGACATGCCATCACAAATTGGGCAGCCCTTTCAATGAACGTGCACAGGCACGATGGGCCGAATGACTTCTTTCTGTGTTGCAAGATCCTTCTTTAAGTGGATGAATGACCAGTTCGTTCAGTGTTCTAATCAGAACTTTTTTTTAAAAATTGCAAACTGGTTTCTGTCCTTACAATGAGCACAGCGGGGTGCAGGGAAGCAAAGTTCATTTCTAGATAACCAATTCCCACTGAATTAATAAATTGCACTGTAACCTTACATACATGCAATTGCATCCACAAAATGCTTCATAAAACTTTTCTAAAAATAATTAATTCCCGAATGCCAATCCGTACAATAAAATATCTTGAATAAAATTCAGAAAGCCCTTTTTTTAAAACAGCAAGGACTGATCCACCCAGATATTCAGTGTTGATAATTACAATGAGGTGAACCACAGCTTTGCTAAATACTCAACTGTGTGCATCATCTCCTGCAAGACACTGGCTTTTGCACTGTCTCCAGAGAAATGTGCACCATGGGACGCTGGGATTGCCTCTCCCAACATGAATAGCAGCCTCAGAGCCACTTCCACTTCCATGAACCTTGTATTTTGCCAGTTCCTATAAAGAGTAAAGAAAACAATTGCAAGTACATCAGGATTCAAAATGAAAGTCCAAGTTACATTGTGGAGCATAACACTTTCATTCTTTAATGGTATGCGGGGTGTTGCTGGTGGTGCCAGCCTTTATTGCACATGCCTAATTACTTTCGAGAAATGTGGTGGTGAGCCACGTTCTTGAATCACTGTAATCAGCAAACTATCTGCATCAAAAAAATTCACACCTGCTTGGATCATCACCATAAATGTTTATCAAAACATCTCTTTGCATTTTTATTTTCCTAAAGGTCAATCAAGTTTATTAAAATAACTGCCCAGGCCTAAATCAAATAGACTGGACATTAAACAGGCTCAGGTAATATGACAACAAATACTGCCCCCAACACCCTTCTGCCCCCACCACACAAAATACTCAAAGTTTTCTGTAGTCAGCGTGAGCATGCTAACTGGTATTCCTTATTAGCGTGTGCAATTTACTTTGGCAGAAGGAGTAGTCAGTGGTAGAAACTGGTAAAATAGAGACAAAGATCATTAGCTACCAAATAATGGAATGATGGTTAGCAAAAGAGACAGATTACCTATTGTCTGGTGCAGGCTTCAGCAAGTGAATTTGCAAAGTGATGTTAACTTGAGTACAAACATTTGCAAAACACAGGTGACAGGAAGAAACTGAAAGAAAGTCTCTGTGGGCAGAGGTGGTGAATGAAATTTACTTGCTGGTGTTCCTTTCTGACTATGAAGATTGAAATGAATCGGCATCATGGATCATAACAAAGATGGTACAAAATAGTTACAGTATCCCTCCAGCCATGTGGCCATAGAACTGACAGCCCCATCACTCTTTTTCTCTATGTAGAAAAGATGAATGGAATTAGAATTCTGACCCTGCAGAGATTTGGATGAGAACCCCAACCCAGAAATATAAGCCTGTCCAGACTGCAGCATGCTATGCCTGGGATTCTATCCAAGGGTTCTATTCCACAGGCTTGTGGAATAGTGATGCTCTTACCAACAGTTACCAGTCCAGCTAACTCCAAGGCTCTCCATAGGAGAGCAAAGTCCTGGAATTGAGTTTCACAAAAGAAATGTATTCCTAAGTGAGGAAGCCTCCAATCCTTTACCAACATGTCACTACAGTTTAACAATCTATCCTACATTATGGTATTCCAAGAAAAAGTTTAGAATACCAGTACACCAGGTACAGACCGAGGATGACTTTGTATAAAGTATGGCTGATTTCCTTAAAAAGATGTGCATACATCAAGATAGAATACAGACTTGCATTTATATAGCACCTTTCACAACCTCAAAGTCCAAAGCTCTTTACAGTTAACGAGTGCTTTCAAAGTGCATTCATTGTTGAGATGTAGGAAATGCAGTAGCCAGGTCAAACAGAGCAAGCTTCCACAAATAGCGGAAACAGTTCAAATTACACGTGATTAAAACATGGATTAGTGCAATCTCAGTGATCCATTTTCAAAACGGCCACTGTCAGAGAGATACAATGATTACAAAGAGGATGGGTTATCGTGGCTACCTACCCAAATTCTGTCTGTCTTGCTCCTGTCCATAGTTACGATGCTACCTTTCTATCATATGCACTGTTGAAGAGTGAAAAGTACAAAGTGACAGGCCCCTGTTCGTTTTCATTCACAACTGGCATAACAATACTTCTGTACTCAAGAAAAAATTTATTTAGAAATAGACAAGTTTTCTGAGCTGCTAACAACCAGCAATTCTAGTTATCACTTCAGTCAGTTGAGGGAGATATTACTTTAACCGACTTAGTCATTCTGGGCTTCCAAACAGGTTAAGATAAAGACAGTGGTAACTGTTGCTGAATGTTTGGAGTTTATAAACATTGGGATGAATTAATAAGCTTATAATTGCCCAATTAAAGTCAAAATTCTCGAATTCCTTCCTTAAACCTCCTCCAATTTTCTCTTTAAGAAGTTCTCCCAGCTTTGTTCTTTTGACCTAGCATTTGGCAGGGTGTCAAATTCTGTTTGATAACATTCCTGCATTGTGCTGTGGGACATTTTGGTATGTTAAAGGCACTGTATAAATGCAAGTTGTTGCTGCTTCATACACTTCTATCTTACCCTCCCCTTGTTTCACCATGTAACATGTTAATCTCGGACAACAGCTCTTGTAATTTTCAAATCTTCCTGCAGAGAAGCATCTAGCCTCCACTTGCCATGAATTCAGTATTTGGCAAGTAAACTTGTCAGCAACTGGTCTTGTGCAGAGTTCCGAGAACTTGACATACAACTCCATACACTGGAGCAGCAATACTTCGCACCACCACTCTCCACATCAACTACATAAGTTATACATAGATCGTTTCAAACTAGGACACACATACTCAGTGACACTTACTCCAGCGTTGCGTTGAAGACCCTTTGGACAGCAGCTAAAAGTAACTCAGGTGAAACTTGTGCCAATCTGTCCAACAGCAACTTCAAATGTTTTCTGTATTCAAGGAACATGGCTTCATCTTCACCCTAATGCAAGAATAATAATTAGCATCAGATGAATAGAGCTCGTTCTTGCTGCGTCCGACAATTTCTCTTTTACATCTTAGATTTACAAATCAGTGATCTTTTGCCTTTTGTGATCCAAATGACTGAGATTCCACATAACCTGCAGAGTTACGCACCTGAATAATGGCCACCTTGATGTGTTTCTGAAAGATGGTCCTACAACCATGCCTCAGATAATCAGTATCCTAAGGCAGGAAAGAACCTGCTCATTTTCTGTTCAGTCTACCTGGTATTACAAGGTTTTTACATGCAATGCCTACAGTGTGGAAGCAGGCCATTCTTCTTAGGTAACACTTGGTTTTGCTAGGAACATGCAATTGCAGAATACAGGGAAACACTACTTTTGCACTCAGCAAGAAGGTGATTTCATGCAATACAAAATTCCTGATAACACAAGGTCTATACAGTTTGAGAAGATTTGTAGCTCAGGTTGTGGATGAGGTTGTAGACTTGCTCGTTGAGCCGGTGTGTTTGATGGCAGACGTTTCATCACCCTGCTAGCTAACAATGTCAGTGCACCTCTGGTGAAGCACTCGTGTTCTACCCTGCTTGTTATTCATATGCCTCGGTTGGCATCACTTCCGGTCTTGTTTTTGTGAGTTCGGTTGGAATGCCAGGCCCTCCAGGAATTCCCTGGCATGTCTCTGTTTGGCTTGTGCTATTATGGATGTATTGTCCCAGTCAAATTTGTGTCTTTGTCCACGTGTATTGAGACCAGTGAGAATTGGTCGTGTCTCTTGGAGGCTGGTTAGTGTTAGTGTTTCATTATTGTCCATGCTTAACTATCCTCGCAAAAAAAAACAAAAAAACAATAACTGACTACACTTCCTACGCATAATGGTAGAACATAGGAACAACAGGGAACTCCAGACTAGCGTATACAGAAAGACCACACATACGGACCAGATAATTAATTACTCCTGCAATCACCCCAATGCCCACAAACGGAGCTGCATCAGGACGTTATTCAAACGAGCCACAGCACACTGCAGCAACCTGGAATTACGCAAAGCAGAACAGGAGCCCTTATACAGAGTTTTTAAAAAGGAATGATTACCTAAAAAGCACAACCCACCGCTACCTCCGTAACAGACCACAACAAGACAACAACATGGCCAGACGCACTAGTCACCCTACCATTCAGGGAATATCGGATGACCACAAGACTACTCAGACCCCTAGGTATCAGGGTAGCCCACAAACCAACAACCACCCTGTGACAGCTTCCTCATGAACGTAAAGGATCCTATACCCACAACCAATAAAAACTAATATAATATACAAAATATCAACTGACAATAAGGATACACAAACATCAACTAGCCAAGAGACAACAAATTCTCACTGGTCTCAATACACATGGACAAAGAAGGACATGAATTTAACTGGGACAACACATCCATAATGGCACAAGCCAAACAGAGACATGTCAGGGAATTCCTGGAGATCTGGCATTCCAACCAGAACTCCAACAAACACAGTGAACTGGACCCATATAGACAAACCACTGAAAAACAGAACCAGAAGGTGATACCAACCACCCCAGCAAACCGAGGCATATAAATAACAAGCGGGACAGAACACCAGCATTTCACTGAAGACGCACTGACAACGTTACCTAGCAGGGTGACGAAACATCTGCGATCAAACACACCAGCTCGACAAGCAAGTCTACAACCTCAATGTCTAAACAATTTGAAGAATACTGTCTTACCTCATTTTCAAAATTGAATTCTTCATCATAAGTTAATTTCTTTATAACTGCATGCATAATTGCCTACATTGGAAAAATGGACAAAGCGTAAACAACAACTAGCACTTGCTGTGTAACTCAAAAATGTTTTATTTCATTCAAGCACATCAAGCTTACCTCAATATTAGCCTTTTGCTGTTCAGTCAGTGCAGGAAGCTGTATAGATTATGAGCACAGAGGTTACAAATTCAGATCTTTCACACTGATTATAAGTACTGCTTTGTTAAAGAAATCTACATTACTAACCGCAAGTTATTCTGCAGGAGAGGAATAGCATTAAATCATGTGCACAGCTCAACTCCTGTGGTTTTCACTCTTAGCTAGGCTACCAATGGAAAGGGAACATAAAAGCCTCATCAGTTGAGTGTTCTCAGTACAGACAGATAAAACACAGGTGGTAACTCTACCCTCCCTCAGCCTAGACTCCTGCAGGCAATTTCCCCTTATCTGTCTGAAAAACTAAGAGATTACCTAAAAAAATTCCTGTTGTCATAAAAACTGTTGTCATAAGGGTGAATCTCTCGAAATAAAATATAGCAGAATACAGTAATCAAGTGACAATATATCAAAAGTGGAATCATTATGCAGATATCATTCACAAGTTGAACTGCACAACTTATCACCCATGACTACAATATCAAGAACATGTGGCCACTTCGCTGTTTCCTTGGCTGGCGTGGAACATCGTCCAGCTCATGTAATATATGCCACGCAACTGGAGAATCAGTCATTTTAGTTGCCAATTTGAACTGTGTAGCCACTGCTACTGTACTCTTAGTAAAAGCTACAAGCATTCTAGTTACCTACTGAACCAAATTAGCATCATAAAAGCACAACTGCATTCAAAAATGCTTGCCACGTTTGGTAGTGAGTTTAGCATGAGAAAAATTCCAGACTAACTCATACTTGTGAGCACAACATTCAAACTCATTACCTCAACAAGACAGCAACACGATTAAAAAAGATATGACTTAATTCTGCATATTCAAAATTGTAGACTTAATTATGACTTCCACATACCAGTCAGGCTGTACGGTTCTCCTGGATTCTTCAATTTTTTTTTTAAAAACAAAAGCCAATTTGAAATAAAAACAGGCCATTTCAGCCCGACAAGTCTGTGCTGGTGACGATACTCGACAGGAATCTCCTCCCTTTTCTCTCATACACCCATCTAATTTCTCTCCAAAGTATCACAATTATTACTATAGGACGTGGTTGAGATAAATAAGTTCAATATTCTCACCACCCCGACAAAACAAATTTGTCCTAATTTCCCTACTGGATTATTTATTAATTAGTAACTACCTTGCACTTTTGGCCCCTAGTTTGGATTTTTATTTAAAAACACAACAAGTTCTACATGAGATCCCCCCCTCCATTTAATGCTAACCACATATTTACTACATTTAAATACAATGGAAGTCTGATAGAACGTGATTCAATAGACTGCAAATTCGCTGTATGCAGGGATCTCATGGCTCCCAAAAAGAAGAAAAGTCCCCATCTGGGTGAGTGAATGTGCTCCTAGTTCAGAATGTGTAATTGTCTGACATAAATGTTAAACTTGCCTGTATTGTAATTCTAAGTACCCCTGCATCAATACATCAAATTTGTATTGACTATTTTCAAATTACTGCAATGAATTTCCCCACAATTGTAATGATTATGACCACTTTTGAAACAAAAACATGGGTAGATTGTAGTGTAAGTTATCTAATTATACACATCAATTATGGTCACATCAATTATCCTCCT